AAGAAGGAAGGGGGAGGATGTTCGGTGTGATGGCGTTTTGTCTTCCCAAGTAACCGTTACGCGTGATGGAGCCCTGCTTTCCTGGGGATGGCTGAACACCTGCCTGCTGATGGGAAGGAGTGAATGAATTCCTTGTTTTGCTTTGCTTGCATGCACGGCTTTTGCTTTACCTATTAAACTGTCTTTATCTCAACCTATGAGTTTTCTCACATTTACCCTTCAGATTCTCTCCCCCATCCCCATCCCACTGAGTGAGCGAGCAGCTGTGTGGTGCTTAGTTGCCAGCTGGGGTTAAACCACGACACCCTAATATTCTCCAACAGTTCTAAGCACTTCAACTGTTTTTCTCTCTATTGGCAATGGAAGAGTTGCAAAGGCAAAAAACCACAAAACAAGCCCAAGCCTCAACTGCTGAAGCCTACCTTATTTCCAACTGCTTTTTTATCCTAAGTACGCTTTTCAACTAAAAAGCATGCTTGTCAGTGGTTCGTGTTGGTACAGCAGGTGGAGCTCATCCAGCAGGCCAACTCCACAACTTGCAGATGAAATGATGAAACAACCAAAGAGTCAGATAATTGGATTGAGCTGTATAAACACCACCTAGGTGCTTAGCAGCCTATTCTATACCGTAACAATCTCAGAGGTTTCCCAAAAAACCAGACAATAGAAGTCTGGCTGAAAACAGTTTGGTCAGAAGATCATCAAAACCAGTGTGCTAGACACTTTGAAAAATAAAGAAAATATTTTTCACTTCATTCTGTTCTTTTCCAGAAAGCCCTTCACCCGCGGTAACAATGCTGTCACTCCAAGAGCAAAACCACCAGTTTTCACTCCCCCTCCTACACCACCTACTTTTACAAAGCGACCTAGACAGGACCCATTCCTGCCAGCATGAGGCCAAAGCCTCAGCCCACCTCCCTCTCATGCCTTACACCAGGAACAGAATCTGCAGCAGAAAGTTCAATTTACTCCCAAACCAGCTCCATTCAGGAAACATTTTAGTATATGCTTAACAAGGAAGGGTGTCTCCTTTTTTGGGAACACCTGGGCTCTTCCTCTAAGCAGAGCTTTCAACATCCCCTTTAATAGAGGGGTTTTGCATATACTAAGTGCACCTCTACTAAGTGAAATGCAGCATGGCACAGAAATCACTGCACTGGCACCGACTCAAACTTCTGTGTTTATACAGCACAATTCAACACTGCACGGAGATACTAATTTAGGCCCCAGAATCCATATAGCTGAGTTCGTGTTACCAGGCCTGCACCATTACGCTTTCTTACTTTTCAGCAAGACTATATCGGTCAGGTACAATGTCACAGCAGTGCACAGCTTTTGTTTCTGGGTCTAACAAATTGGTCACGAGACCTAAGTGTTGTTCAGCAGTCCAGCTAAGCTGAGCTTACAGCAGCAACTGGAAGGGACTTATTCCAGTACTGGAGCTGTGCAGAATGAAGGTTCAGGGAGTTAAACCAGCTGAAAACTAACCCTACAAAACAAAGACTTTTCTGCCTGTGTCCCTGAATAGGTTTGCTGACAGATCAGATGAGTGCAAGTGCCAGTACAAAAGAGAAGACAAATACGTGAAGCCTGGTGAGATATTGGAGGGAGAATGTGGGGAAGGGGTGTGCCCCTTTGGGTGGCAGCCAGGGCTTAGACTGGCTCAGCTCTATGACCAAAGCACAGTTTAAGAGATTTGTATCTGCCCAAAGACCACCAAGCATCTCCTACCACTCCCTGCTTAGCAGCCCAGATGTTCCCTTATTTTATCTTTAATACAAGGTTGCTACATGTCCCACAACACTAATGACAAGTTTCCTTTTCCCACCTGAAAACATTTGCATATAAAATTTTTTATGAAGTGGGTACTTAAAACATAATCTGTATGTCAAACTGCTCCTTTTCAACACACTACATGCCAATACAAGTTGGAAAATGCTTTTGCTACGTACACTTGCTCTGGAGTAGGACGTTCCTCGCACTAATCTTTAAAGAACCAGGTGAGGGGCTGTCACTAGGCTCTTTTCAAAAAGCTGCCCAGCCACTGCGGTTCTGGGTTCCAGGAATGCCAACACAGAAGAAAGCCCCACATTTTAACCCTGGCTGCAGAGAGATCTGTTTGGGGCACGAGACCCCATCTTGAATGATTTTTAAGATTTGTCACATTCGTGTTGACTGATTAACAGCACTTTTTCAAAGTTACAGAAAGTAGACTAAACTGGAGGTGGGGACAGAGAAGGACCCCCTTCAACAAGCCTTTAAAATCAATCCATGAAGCTTTTAACAACTGTAAAGCTTTCTTTGTGAATAAAAGGTGTGTCCATAGCAAGCACCAACTACAAGCTTTGTCCTTTATCATCTCGCATTTCGTTTCAAGAGCTGCAGGGATGGAAATTAGCCATGCTACAGATGAACCAAAGAACCTGAAATGCAGCTGAGAAAGCAGCCTTGCTAGGCACCTCACAGGTTAGACTCCTGTGTCTTAAAAAAGCTATACAAATGAGTTAACTCTTTTGCATCCAAGAAGCAAAGGTGAGTCATTTCCCTCTGCAAGTGATTTACACTACACGAATAGGTGTGTTTTGGTGTGTAGGAGGAGAGGGGCATGAATGAGCTGGTGCCTCAGCTACGGGGACCTGCCTACGTGAAGCAGAGAGCTGCCTGCATGGACTCCTTTCTCCAGCTTGTGAAGCCAAGTCACAGAACACTCCCCCGTGCAGTGAAATACCCCGGGTACCACGTGCTGTTCAGACAAGCCTGCCTTAAAAGTTGCAGGCAAGAAATAAGAACCACAGACTGACTCCAAATGGAATTCTTAAGAACGACTATTATGCAGAATTGAAAATGCCGCTCAATTTACTTCCTCCTCCAGGATGAAAGAAATACTCCACTAAAAAGGGCAAGTGCTATTTACAGTCTGTCCACTGCACTATGCTCCATCTTCTAAACACAGTCATGATCACAGCTGCCCTAAAAATAGGCAGAAATCCCACTGGAGGAAGTTGACACATCCTGAAGTGACAGACACGTGGAAGTCCCAGAGCGTGTGAGGGGATTATACAACTAAGCTAGTGATACAAAAAGATTTACAAACCGATGTCACAGAAAGCCAAACAGATAGGTGTAGCAGAAAAGTTGATTGTATCCATATGGCTTAAGACAGTTCTCCTTAAAGATTTTAATTTAAATGATGAGAACAGATCTCTCAGGTCAGAACAATAGTATCACCTCTTTCTGGAGCACAGGCACAGATACTCGACCATCCCAAACCGACTGTCATGTTCCCTCTGAACACAAGGGTCCTATCCCATCTCTCCTTAAACACTCCCTCCTCCTTCTCCTCCCAAATCAGCATGACAAAGCACGCAAGTGCTGAGACACACAGAAACATCTGCATTAGTGTTTTAGCTCTGATGAGCGTGCTTTGGAAGGAAATCTCCTAATTACCCCCAATTACTGCACTCTGTTTCATCAGGGAGTGATACCAGAGATTAATACTACGTGGATTCCTCTTCGATGAAACTGGAGAACAAGCTTGTGCAGTGGACCTTAACACAGGACGGCTGTAAACTGGGCAGTAGGCTTCCAGACTACAGCTAGGTCAGGGTAAGAAGTCCCCTAGATGTGTACAGCGTGGGTGTCTGGGCCCCACCACTTTACTGTATGGAGCTGCTCCTGTCGGCTGCGATGCAGGCACAGCCAGAGAACTTGCGTACAAAGAGGAGTTTCACACCGATGTTAGGTTCTGGCGATCCTCCATGAAGGAAGCCTGCTCAGCTCCCATCAGACAAAGTCACCTGTTTCAAACTTGGTGCACATTTTGAGAGGGGCGAAGCAGTTTTCACATGTGTAAGAGCATATGAAAGAGCAAGGACTTTCAGACACGCATCTTTACATTTAGTCCCAAACACAGTTGCTTCTATTACGTGCTGCAGAATTACTTTATTGCATTTAAATGGTCTTTTTTTTTTTTCAGAGAAAAAACTCTAGGATAAACTAACATGCATTTTGACTTCTTTTCTTTTCACCTGCCCACATTTCACTCAAATAACCAAAGCACCTGTTACGGATTTCACTTTTATAAGCCATATTCCACAATGTCCAAAAATATGACTGGACATCATTTTTCTGTCTAAATATTGACACAATTAAATGGACCCGCTTCCCTCGACCATCCAAAACACGCTGAAAGTACAGGTGCTGCATCACTACCGAAAATAAAACCCAAGGAGCACATTAAACATATAGTTAATGAATAAATGGTTCAGACAGGAAGAAGAGACCCAGAAATCACCTGTGGATACGTGCAATGGCAGGAAACAACGTCACAACGTGACTTACTGACCACAGAAACGCTTTTCCCTAAAAAATGAAAATGAACTTTTTCCTCAAAATGTCACTTTTCCAGGAAGGAGTTTGCTTCTTGAAAGCCTGTTTTTGTTCCAGGCCTTCTGAGGAGCTAAGGGCAGTCAGCGTGCCCCTCAT